ATTATTGTTAAAATTGTAGAAGTGTAGTGGTATATATCACAAAATTATATGGATATCAACGGAAAAGCGGAGAATTTGCATTTTAAAACATTCTGAAAGATCAAGGCCAAGAACAAAAGTTAGTTAACTATTCATTTTTAAGCTAAGCTTTACATTAAAAATTCACAACAACGGTGAAGATAAAAATGTGTTTGAATGTTTTTGGTTTTGTGCTTGTTTATTATTCAACTGTTTATTTTCAACATTATATTAATAAAAACATAAAAACGACAACGATTTGATTGCATTAGGTATTGATGGGCTCTCACGGGAGTCATGAGTTTGATAACCGCCGGGTCTAAAATGATCCCTATTACTTAGACTTCTTCCGGAAAAATGGAAACCTAATGTTTGGTAGACAATAAACTTTTACAAGCAAATAGGTAATGCCTATAGATAAACCTACCTATATATCTATTGTTAAAACACGTGGCTAAATCTTTATCTCCTTCCCATGCCTTTTGCTTTTCAAGTGTCACAATCAAAAGTAACTTTTTTTGCCAGTAGATGAAATAGATAAGATAAGATAAGTTAAGTATTATAATTAATCATTAGACTAGGTCCCTTCTGACCGAGGTAAAGTTCTGGTAAAACACTACGGAGCAAGAAAATACACTTAAAAATTGGGATTTCATACAGAGAAGGTCTGTTGTCAGTAAACAAACCTAACCTCACATTATTACATCAATCAAAAATATCGACAAATAGCGATGCGTGCGCAATTACGAAGTCACAACGCGTGGTAGGACAGGGTTGAGATCTAACATTTTCCTTCATAAACAGTATGATCGTTGCATAATGTGAGACACTACCATATACTACCGACTTAGAAAAACAATTTTATACACAATAGTTATCGAACATTCTATTGCCAGCATGTAGGTTGAAAAACTCTTGAATATAAAATGCTTAGAAAATTAGGAAAATGTAACCATACTTCTACCAAGTAACCCTGAAAAACGTACATTAATGAACAAATTAATTACATATTTAAATTATCTACAAAAAAAGTCCGTAATGCTATATGTCTATCTTTTAAATTACCTTGCAAGAACGACTGGAAGAGACGCCACCGACGTCGTGGTTAACAGTTTAAGCTTATAAACATGAAGAGGTTTGCAAAAACCAATTGGAATATCCAAAATAACTACTCTACGCGGACGAAGTCGCTGACACAGCTAGTGTATATCTTAATGTTTGAATCCTGGACCTTAAAAGCATTTCCACTTATCTACTATGATAGTTAGTAGTATAAGTGCAAAATAAATGCAACCGTGTCCCAACGACCAACCAAAACACACAATAGCTCATAAATAAGACCTAAAATTATACCTTGACGCAAACAACATGTGAACAAGTCCCAATGCACTGACATTGTCCTAATTCTCTGCCCTTTACCATGACAATGCTACTTATGCATTCTGTAGTCATAACACGTCGTCGGACGTTATATAATCTGTATTTGACCTTTGCGGTTTAATATGACAGATGACAGGTGTTTGACAGCGAGGTTTAGAAACAAACGGTTCCGTTACACCAAGTTATATGTATAATTTTAGGTGTTTTTTGTGATTTACATTTTTAAGAAATGTATTTTAACCGCTTATACGGATCTGTACATAATTTTGGACACATGAGGAACGAACTTTAGGTAACCTTACACAATATAAATACAATTGTTTATACAATTATTATTAATATGTGGAAGTAATGATGCGTGTGTCTGTTGAGTTTTGATAAGTTATGATATACAAATTGCACTGATTGATAAAATTAATCTACTGAGAGTGCCAGTTAGGACATTTCCCCAATACATTGTAACGTCGCCTAAATGAAAAAACTTCTTTTTTTATCTTAAGGACATTTATAATAGCTAGTTAGTATTACATTTTTGGTAGTCGTACAGACAGGCGCAGTACAACTAATTGACATTATATATATCTCTGAGGACGCGACAGACGCACTTATTCGCAGTAAAATCAACAGTTTCCATGGAAACGCTTTTCAACTATTTTTAACTACCACTGGATGGATGTTACGTAATCTAATCATAACGTCAAATCAAAGAAAATTGACCTGGAAGTAAAGTAATGGTAAAAAACAAGAGTTGCAGCACAATTTCGCTATAACAAAGATTTTCAGCAAATCACCAGCCTCCCCGTGACCACAGCTGCTGCGGAGCATCCGAAACATCGGATCGTAGTTAAAACAAATCATAAATAACTAACTCACATATTTCGCGTTTCAAACCGTTAAAAGTGTTTTATTTAAATGAGTACTGCGTAAACATTGTTCTTCGTCTGTTAAACAGCGCACATATTCTTATTTATAATTTAAAACCGTTCAACGTGTTTTATTGTGATTTAGACAATGCTTATATGTGTTACAATTCGTTAAGTTCGGGGATACGTAATAATGTGGGTGTGCCCGCATGAGCGCGGGTTCCGACTTCAAAGTAGACGCCGGCCTTCGCTCGACCTTCCTTTATCGCCATCATACCAAATCCTTTCCGCTTTTCATTTCCGTGTACTGAAATTATCGTAAGGATGATAATACTTAACTTTGAAATATTGACTCATGCACTAGCTTCTACCGCAACAAGGCTCGTATGAAATTTTTAATATTCGCAAAACCTAACGCTTTTAACGGTTTAAATCGCGATATGTATTCGTGACTAGTAAACGAACGAAAAGTTTATACTACTCGCGTAAACTACAGACGGTACTTAATTCACAACGTCTATATAATTTTAGGTCGTAGGTAGTTAAAATAATTTGTTAAAAAGTTAACTAATTAATTCCGCGTTTTAAACCGTTAAAAGTGTATTATTTCAATTTGTACTACTCGCGTAAATACAATAAATAAAGATTTTTTGTGTGGTCAAACAAAAATCTGTCTCCAATCAAATAATTATTATTACTTTAATTAACTTAAAAGAAAATTTCTTACAGTTACTATTAAATTTTCTGTAGTGTACGCGAGTAGTACAATTTGAAATAAAACACTTTTAAACGGTTTAAAACATCAAATGTATTAGTTAAATAATTTAAACCACACAGCCAGTAGTTAAGAAGGCGTTTTAAAACATTAAAAGTGTTGTCTTCAAAAGAAAATTAATTTTCTTGCGTCTGCAAATAGCTTATTGACTTTCCTAATAGATGTAAGCCAATGTAGGCCAAGATGCATCTGTTCTACTTCGCTTTGCACTTGGCCGACTAATGTGTTGTGGAAGTAATCACCTGTAGGGTAACCATGCTTCAATCCTAGATACCACCCGTCAATTTGTAAATTATATATTTTTTCAATTGTTAATGTTAGTCCCGCCTTCCTTCAACCGATATATCAGTTCTTTGCACAAATGTTAATTCTGTGAATAAAGTGCGCAATAGCAAGTATTAACTTTAAAAAAGTGTTAGTTAAATTGTACTAAGATAATAACATTCAGTATTTGTAGCGATAAGTTTTGTTAAAGAAAGTAAAAGAACGAAGAAGTTAGGAACCTCATTTTTATGAGCCGGACTAATTCTGTGTCTATTACACCGCTTAATTTTATTTTGCAACAGAAACTAATTAATATTTTCTCTAGGTTCAAATAACATGATAAGGATTTAAATAAAACACTTTAACGGTTTAAAACGCGATATATTAGTTAAAGTGTTTTATTAAAATGTGTACTACTCGCGTAAACTATAGACAGTATTTAACATGATTAGGAGTAAATTTCGTTAAAATATTCAAAACTTTAATTTATTACACTGTCGGTGCCAGCGATTATGTCCGCGTAAATCAGTCATTTTGGGCATAAACATTTGTTATTACAAACCTCCTCATCTTTTCAAAATATAACTCTTAACCACAAGTTGTTATTGCAAGCTAATCTTAAAAGATTAAACTAGAAATAAAGTTATTTTGAAAGTTAATATTTAAAGATAAATCTTTCTTTCATACAATTTTTTTGGTATCTCGAGGGATATTTTAGAGGCCACGCAACAGAGATCCACTAAGACGAATACTTTTCCCCGACTTTTCCAAATTTCCTACTGTTCATTCGTTTCTATTGGTCGCGTGATGTTTTACAACCCTTTCTCGATAAATGCCAACATAATTCAATTTTTATGATTCGACCAGTAGTTCCTCAGATTAGCGCGTTCAAACTCGGCAGTTTCATAATATTATTATAGATTAAAGACATGGCCACCCTACTTCTACACTATTTGACATTGTATAGAAATATTTCGATAATGTATTGTCATTTATGTGTAATGAGTGGTTCCGCGACTCTTATCGCCTTATCGACCGAGGCTGCATCGAACCTGACAATGAATTTTAATAGTGCTGTGCTTATGTCTGAATCGATTACTGGAATACCTGTAGTGTCTAATTATGTTTCGGTTAGATTCCTTTGAATTGTGTTTAATATTAGCATTCAACGCTACCAAGACTCTCTAGAGGTAATGTATCTTAGAAAAATATTAAAGTATATAAATATGAAACTTGCTTATAAAAAAATATTTATTTGTTAAAAAAGAAATATGTGTTACAAATTTAATAATAATATAAACACATTTAGTTTTAATTGCAATTTTTTCTTTATACATTTCTACTTTAAGAGCTTTTGTACCTAGTTGTGTATATTGGTTAAGCTGTAAATACATATTTTATAGTATTCATTTAAAATCATAATATTATGTAGATGAAACGTGGTTAAATTGAATAATAACTATAATTTATAAAACGCCATTCTATCGACAATGCGCCCGCGCATGACTAGCATCTATAGGGGTGAGGCCTTCACAGCCGAGAAGGATTCTTTCAGACAAATCATAGAATCCTTTAAATATTGTCCGTCTGTCAAACGTTACAATACAACAGTTTGGTTCGTTGGTGTACGTTATCCTAGAGTGGTGAAGAAGGATATATAATATTTCTCTCAGATCAGATACTAGGAAAAACTTGTGAAGATGGCTCGTGTTGTATTGTGTTTATTGTTTGTGATATTTGATTTTGGATTGTGCTATGTCAACCGTAAGTGTTGAGAGATAAAATATGCGATTAGATATGTTTTTCTCGAATACAATGTCTTTCCTAAAAATTTTTTTTTAGCGCATAATATTGCCGGATTTTTGTTATATTACTCGACCGCTTAGTAGGTTCGACTTCTAGCTAGTTCATCTTAAGTACTTGCAGTTTACTACAGAAGAAGTCATTCAATAAACTGCTTTTAATTGTTTAAACACGAAATATATTGGCCCTTTAACTAATTTAACTTTCGTCCTCCTCGGATTACGGTTAGTAGTTAAAAATTATATTTCGTTTTTAAAAACGTTGAAAGTGATATTTCCATATGACAAGAATAAATATGTCAGAATAATTTACTGCATAACAGATTTAATCACAAAATAGTAGACTGTAGCAACCCCTAGCAGTCTGCTGTAAAGTAGCCAAAATGTCGGGTCACAGTTAAAAAAATTATTTCTCCTTTAAAAACCAAAAATGCTTTATTTAAATAGGACAGTTCACCGTAAATGTTTTCCAAAACTGTATAATACAGTACTCTTGTAGTTTTTAGTTTATGTACACGGAATAAATAAATCATACAAAATTTTATAATAAGAAGAAGCCACGTATTGCTTCAAGCATTTTACTTAATAGCATATTTAGTTCCGGTTTGTAAGAATCTTGCATATAATTGGCATAGATTTTTGTCTCTCGGTATAATAATTAAGTATTGTTAAGAACATGTCTTGCTAGATATTTAAGTAATTATATCTACTACGAAATTACATTGCACGAGAGTGCATGTGTCAATAGGTAGAAAAAATTCGATGTTAACGTGTGGGACACGGTAGCTTAATTAGTTAGAGCGGAACGTGCCGGTTCAAATCCCGCCCGTGTCCTCAATTTTTCAATTCATAAGTAATTGTATATGCGTTCGTGCTTACATTGGTATTTACCTTTTACTCAAACAGAGAGCCAAGCCAAGTACAAAGAAGACTAATAACTAGAAAAACGTTGAAAAAAGAAAGAAAATCTTTATATACTATGTATATAAAATGTTCAAAAGTGATCAAAAAAATAACCTCGAATTTTTTTTTGCTTCTATTAATAAAATTAAATACTGTTAAGTTTAGTGCGAGTACACCTTTAAAAAAAACATTTTAACGGTTTAAAACAACACGAACGTACGATACAATCCGAAACGTAGCGAAAAATATTATAATTTCCAAATAAGTCTAACTAATATACCTAGCATTTTAAACCATTAAATTGTTTTATTTAAATTAAACATAAATAAAACGTAGTCAAACACATACTAAAATTGAGTTAACATATTATATGCAAAAGTATAACATTTATTTGTCGCAAATAAAGTTATTCAAATAACAATTTGATATCGACAATAATAATAATAAGACCCCCAATTTTCAGTTGCTGAAACAGAATGTGGAGCCCAATCATTCCGAAGTGCTCGTATCGTTGGTGGTATGAACAGCCATACCAACGAGTTCCCCTGGGCAGCCAGCATTTGGAGACAGGGTACCCACCAGTGCGGGGCCACTGTCATTAGTGACCAATGGTTGATAACCGCTGGACATTGCGTTTGCAGGTCTGTAGAAAGATTACTAAAAATTAGATAAGTTAAGTCAATCCGAATATCCAAAGCCGAAATAAGTCGAGAGCATATTTTGTTTCGATGTTATATTACTGGGGTATTTACCCACCCATCACGTAAACCCCTTGCTTGTCTATACTCCTCCATCATAACAAACAGTCATCGACTCAATTCAATGTTTCTACAAAAAAATAAATCTGTACTATACATTTGTTTGTTTAACGAAAACATATCTATGCTATGCAGTTTATCTCTTTAAAGAGAGGTTGTAAAATAAAAAGCATAGACACTATACTAAATTCATAAATATTTAAACTCAGTTATTTTAAATACGTCTATAGTTTACCGAGTAGTAACATTTAAATAAAAACTTTAACGGTTTAAAACGCGATATATTAGTTAAACTTATTTAAAAATGATTTTTAACTTCGGCCCGACGTTTAGGATGCTTTGCAGCAGCCGTGGTCACGGGTCTCCCCTGACCACGGCTGCTGCAAAGCATCGTGGTCTGCGTTTTAAACCGTTAAAGTGTTTTATTTAAATCAGTTATTTTATTTTATTTTATTTGTAAGAAAGATCTACTAGAGTAACTAATCCTTAGTAATAACTAAGTCAAAGACTTAGATAATGTGTTCGTATTTGTCTATGGTGTTTATCCTTTACCTATGTTAAATTAACTTTCAGTGCGTTCGACGAATTCTACAAAGCAAAGCAGCTGATAGTAGTTGTTGGCTTCACAGATATTTCAACATCAGATACTAAAGAAGCTTTATCGAAGATACTTCCTCATCCAGAATACAGGTAAGTATTGTACACAGAAGTAACTGGATGAAAATTTGAATCAATTGAGCAATTGATCTGAATGACTTAGTTGGTGACTAAAAACTAAATGATAAAGTCACTACGAAATTATTAACTAATGTCACAAAATAGAATTTCAGATCATGAAAAGCGATTATGCAAAAATTAATTTCTTGTAGTTGAAAAATAATTGTACGATGTTGTTCATGTCTTTTTTGGATATTAATCTTAAGTGGCAAGACTTTACTTAGATTTAAATAACTTTTCTCACGTCATCATCATACTGAATGTACTATTTTTAATATATTATATAACAAGACCTTACAGTCTTGGTGCATGCGGTGTATTTATATCTATATATGTTATCTTGTAAACAACTCTCCAAAAAAGAACATGTCTGTTGAAAAGAGAAAGAAGATTCTCACCTTCAGTGCACAAAGGAAGATGCGGTCTTTCTTAATTTTAGATGTAAGAAGAAAACCAACGACGTAGCGCTTTTGAAGACAATTCGTCAACTAGTTTGGAGTAGTTCGATTCGACCAGCGTGTCTGCCTCAACCCTTAGCTCCAGATTACAGTGGAAAACTGGCCACGGTCGCTGGCTGGGGATTTACACATGAAGACAGAGCGATTGGTAAAAAGACTTGTAGATTTTTTTTACACTAAAATTTTCCTATTTCTTTCTTTTGACCAAAGTAGAGAGTACTTTGGTCAAATATTTGGGATCTTCCCTATAAAGTTAAAATATTTTTTATTTTTTATAGGTGACCGTCCAAACATCCTACAGAAAGCTGATGTCTTGGTTGTCAACAATGATGTCTGTAATGATTGGTATAAATCTCAAGGAAGCAAAATCAAAGTCGTTGGCACGCAAATATGCGCAGGACACGAAAGTGGTGGACGGGACTCTTGTTGGGTAAACATAAATATATTTTTATGTCTATAATTCATTATCGTATGACATATAACGTTTTATTCCTACTATATGGTTTAAATATATCTCATCATGTGTCAAACATAGATTCCCAATACTCAAAGCCAAAATCAAGTTCGTTAGCACATCATGTTTCGGTGTTATGTAGTACTGAACTTCTTGCTTATCTGCCCTCTATCATAAGAAAAAACAATGTTTCAGGCTGACAGCGGCGGTCCCCTCATGGTGTCTACTGACAGTGGTCGCACCATGATCATTGGAGTAGTATCAACAGGGAGTGGATGCGCAAGAGCAAAAATGCCAGGAATTTACACTAGGGTATCCAGATTTACCGAATGGATACAGGCAAGTATAACAGAAGATACATCCAGGTCTGGTCTCCATTGGTATTATAGGAACTAAATTTTATTTATCTTAAGAACATAACATCATATTTATTTTATTTCATTAATATGTTACATAAGCTCCTGTGATAATAGGTATAAGGTAATTTATTGTTTTAAGTCTAAGTTTGCATTTAATAAAAACATCTAAAGAACTACATTTTTTTCTTTACAAAACCTATCAAAATCTTTTTTACTTTCAGAGATAACTGTATGTAGCTGTTTACCTGATACCTCATCAAGGTCATCATTTAATACAATAATAGCGGTTTCAATAGCGACTTTAGCTTCCGTTAAGAGTGGTAACATTTCGGAAGGCGTATTAACAGAACGGTCGCTTTTTACTTTCTTAGATTTAAAAAATAAAGCAGAGTGCAATTCATGATGCAAAACGGCATTATACAAACTCAGTCTAGCGTTTCCAGGGTCTAAGGTTTTTGTGATAAATATAAGATCATTGCATATTTTGATCTTCTTATCTAAGTAGTCTTCGGTTGTATAACCCGGCTGCCGTCCATATAATTGGACGAGCGAGTGTTGTATCGAATAGAGATGATAATGATTTGAATGTAGAAACATCGATAGTCGGCATAGAATTTTTTCTAACATTGGTACAGCCCCGCCCATCATTAAAACATTATCTACGTCTTCGCTCATTTGACCAACGATAGCATTGACTTGAGAATTGGCAACCCTTACTTTACATTTACTACAAGTCCAATCTGTTTCGTCTTCTAATGGGTCTTCTGGTAGGTGAATACCACCACAGGGCTCTATTCCATCCCCCATACATTTCATCGCACTTAAATAAGTGCCCAGTTCAGTTGGATCACTGCATCTCGTACATTTACATGAGAAATATTTTGTATCTTTTAAATGCTGTCTTCTCGCTTGGGTGCCCCATAGCGCGTGACTGTACATTGTCGCTATATGGTCTCCTTTGTCTATTGGAACTACGATTTTAACAGAAATGTTATACAGGTCGTTTATGTTTTTAGGTTTCACGTTAAATGTGTGCTTGGTGTTAGGAATGCAGCTATGCTCCAAAATGCTAGTTTTAGCGTACAACCCATTAAGCTCAGATCCATCTGGTAGACGTATTTCTAGAGCGTTCGTATCAATAATTCCACATATCTTATGCAACAGCTCTTTAGACACCTCTGGCAGGTATTTTAGTTTCACTTCTTTATCTAGTTTATCGATGAAGTGTTTGATAAGGTACTCAACGATAAATTCGTTTGCTTCCCTGAAATCAATATAGATTGATAATGTTTTAACTACTACATAAATAAGTATGCCTAATTACTATTCAAATCAAATAAAAGTTGTTCCAAACTTATTTCCAGATTAAATTTAATCAGCATATATGAAAAATAATAGTTTATTATCAATTTGGTAGTAAAAAGATAATACTAACTCATAAGCTTCAGATCCTGGAAGTCTACTTTCCATATGGGATTGCATGTCTAAAACTTGGTTCCATTTCTCTGGATCAACCTTCTGCAGAAGAACACAGCGAAGTGGCAAAAGAGCATCGTGTCTGAAATTATGTTATATGATAATAACCATAAGATCTAAAATGTTTTTTGTGACCACATTTGAAGGTCTTGAACACAGAGGCAATTATTATTTAATTAATTAGTATCTGGTATTGGAGCGACCTAGCTTATAACTTTTCTAAAATGATACCGTCATAAATATTCGAATCTTATTTATATTGAAGCCGGCTATCATCTTGCCTATAGGGGTGGGGGTCTGTGTTTTGCTTATTTGAGACATGGGGGGAGGGGAGTCCAGATATATTACGTCCGATATTTATTTACTTTTTTAACAATGGCAACCACCACATTTTTAATTGAAAATGTTACGACACGGGGGAGGGGGTAAAAGCTTTGCTTACTTTTGCTGACAAGGGGAGGGGGGGTAAATAATTGTAATAAATCTGCTTACGTAATACTTGAACGGCCCCTAAGACCGTTACTTGAGAAAATATTATTATCAGAGTTTCGTCTTCGGGACGAACGAAAGATTTTCTATCTGCCTATAGCTTAGCTTAGGCAAACTGTGTGCACTAGTGTACTATAGACCATTAACAATTGCCTGATTGCTTGTACAGGAAAATCTTAGACTCTATCGAAAATTCAGTATGGTTGGCTGCTAAACATGAAATCGATGGATTACATAGATGGCAATAGACCTAACAAAGTTGTTCCCAGACAGTTAATAAGTACATTGTAGGCAAATAAGAAGCTGATCAAAATCAAACTGTCCAAACACAAAAGTGTATATATTCCACATAGGCTTATTTTTAACATAGCACTATTATGAAAGTCGTGTTTTATTTACCTGTAGTAATCTGTCATATTATTCAATACACATTCGGGTCTAGAGCTGAGTATCTGACACTCTATGCCGTGATGTCTATGATCAGTAAGACCTTGACAATTTCCAGAACACACAGGCCAGCCGCATCTGGAATTAAAACCTTTAGCAATTAGTTTGGCTTCAAGATATTTAGACGCGTGGTGAATATAATAAGACACTTAAACGGTTTAATACGCCAAAAAAAATAAACTTATTTGAATAAACTACGGCCTGACGTCGGAACGTGACCACGGCTGCTGCAAATCGTCGGAAATTTGCAGCAGCTGTGGTCACAGGGTCTCGCCGATGTAGTTAAAATAAGTTTACTAATATATATCGTGTTTTAAACCGTTAAAGTGTCTTATTTAAATGTGTAATAATCGCGTAAACTACAGACAGTATTTATATTTATTTTCTATGTATATATTATATATATTATTTCTATAACATGGATATGATAACGATAAAGTGGTACCTACAATTAATTAACTTAAAAGCATGATGTATGATAAATTGTATTGAAATATATTATCAATTAGAGGGATAATCATGTTATATGTATTAAAACTATTTAAAATTATTGTCCCTTAAATATTGTATAAACAAATGATTATGAAAGCACATCCGTAGGTTTAATTTTTCTGATTAAAAGATTTACTATTACCTTGAACATCGTTCGCCAATATCTGTAAAGATTGGCTTATAACAACCAACGCAAGGTATGTTAGCCTCAGGATTCGGCATGGCTTTAGGACCGAAGACTATCGGCGATTCAGTTAAAATTACATCACCGGGAAACAAATCTCTCGTCGCGATAAGAAATCGACCTAATTCTTCCGAAGAGTGGACCTGCAAAATTTTGTTTAATGGAGGAATAAAGTTATATTAGTAAGTACAGGTATAAAAATATAAAATAAAGCGAGTGGGATTCAATTTAGTATAAGGTACACGTTTTTATTTACCCCGATTTTAAACCCGACATTTATTGCGCGTAACGCTAAGAATGAACGCTTGAGACAAAGAAATTAGCAAAAATTACGTGTATCTGTATTTTATTTTAGCGCCATCTATCGGCAATTTAATGTACTTCAAACTTTATATAGTAGTCTTAAAAATAGTTTGCCTGTTAAGAGTTTCCTTATTTAAAATGTAGAGGGGCCTGAATACAAACCTCGTAAGGAATATTTCCGTTATCCATGTTTTTTTATTTATGTTTTATTTTTATTACGTGTTTGTATAATCTGAAATATAATAATAAGAACTGATATAACAATTGTAATAAAATTTTGTGAAACCTTTTTCTATTTCGTAAAAGCCTTATTTATATGTAAATTGTAGCATTTTATAGTTTTGATATTTGGTGGACCAAAAACTAAAAAAAGCGCAAATTTTTAAAGTATAATTTAATATTTTGACTACCTGTTAAATTGACAAAACTGTTTATAGTACTGGTATTCTATTCCAGACATTGGCAATATACCAAATCAAGACTAGCCATTAAGAATTTTGGTTTGTTTATTTTTTAAGGTCGGTATCTACTATCTACAAAACAATAGAACCAACACTGGGATAGGTACTCTAAATTTTTTCAATAAATAGGACTAAATACAATTTTGTCAGCTTCTCAGTCGCCAGAGGGTTATTGAAGATTTATTTATGATTTTGTACAACGGATAGTACCATTGCACATATGACAGTAAGTGATAAATCATGACATTTAAATTGCCCATAGATACTAAACACTCCGCCAAGTGGGTTCCAGTTCTTTCTAGTACAATCTATTTTTACGACCATCGCTATCCAGTTGCAAACTGAGATTAATTCTGAATAACCGACACCTTGATATATTCATAACATTTTTAACCATTAAAATAGTATAAATGAGTGCAAATAAAATCTGGATTAATATTTATCTCTACTTATCGTATATTTAAGTATCTAAGTATAAATGTTTCAAAAAAAAGTAAAATATTACTTATACATACCTGAGTGTTATTGTTTAATTATTGATATTTAAGCAAGATAATTATGTTCTTAAAATCCAGTTATTAACTCTTTTTCACACCTAAAAATGTAATCATATATACCTTCTCTTTGAAATTTGATTCTTCGATTTATGACACTAGGGAAAATATAACTTAAATATTTTACAAAACACTCATTTTGATATTTAACAGTTCCTGAAAAATATTACTTGAAGCACTTAATCATAAATACATGGCAGTTAGTTGCGCGGGCGCACTGAAAGCTCAGTGAAAACTGAAGGCGGGAAAGTGCTGATTTAATAGCGCCGTTCGTGATTACGTTATCCATTCATTCTTTAGACATGTGACGTTTTCATTCATAAAGTTTTTCACGGATCAATTCACATAGACAAGAAAATGCTTCATCTTATTTTAAAGCGAAAGGATAAATGACAAGTAGAACTAAGTAATACTATATCATCAAATTTTCTTATTATAATATAATTTTTAAATGTAAGGCTTAAATTCCCTTTGCCCCCTGTGCCAGTCATTTTCACAACTATAGGGCTTCATTTACGAATGGCGTAAACCAAAAAGGCAGATAGCACTTCGCACTTGATGATTTACGCCAGGTATTTTTTATCTTTAATAAAGTTAATCCCACACTTTTCGGTCTCTAACAAGTAATTAATATTAATATCAAGGTATACTGGAAGTATTCAATGCAATTAATGCTTTCAGGATCTACAATAAACTTAAAATTTTAACGTCAATATTACTGCTATTTGTAATATCCTAACCTAACGATACACTTGTCACATTGAACTTAGCAAATGTACGAAAAAAGGAAGCATAACATTTAGGTTATGTTGCCGACATTTAGAACAGATAGATATAGATCCATCAGGAGCCAACATTATATTGATGAATATAAACATTAGTACCGAGCGAACGACTCTGAAATATTTCAAAATTTGGCAAGCGTCCGAGACTTTTAGCTGTGATAATTACATATTCTATTCTCGTCGAGTATTGTGTCAGATTGCCGAGTGAACACCCGCGTTTGACCCAAAACTTCATCATATGGAAAACAAGAAACGAAAGATGCCCGTCTGCGAAGTGTGCCAACAGCCCGCCAATCAGACTTGTGGTGGGTGCAAATCGGTATTCTACTGTTCAAAGAACCACCAAAAGAGCGCGTGGAAAGACCATAAATTTAAATGTCATCCCTTCGAAGTCCAATATTCGAAAACAGCCGGTAGATACTTAGTAGCTAGAAGAGATATTAAACAAGGAGAAATCATACTACGAGAAAAGCCGTGTGTTAGCGGTCCAAGAACCGCTTGTACGCCACACTGCCTTTCATGCAATAAAAAATCGGAGCCGATCAAAAAAGACGATGTCACAGACTATTACAGGTGCACATCGTGTAACTGGCCCATGTGCGGCAAGAAATGTGAAATGTCTAACGTTCACAAAGAAGAATGTAAACTTATGTCAAGTAATAACTATAAATGTACAATCACATACAAAAACCCAGAAAAAGCTGAAGCGGCGTACTGTGTTATTGCGCCACTACGAACGTTGCTCTTGAGTTTATCGAATCCAGAACAGTTCAAGAGCATCATGAACCTGGAGTCTCATTTAAAGGAAAGAATAAATACGCAACTATACAGAGTGTTAAAAACGAACCTCGTAACGTTTATTGTACAAGTACTAAAGCTACCGTTCGATGAGGAGACGATATTGAAAGTCGCATCGATTTATGATACCAATTCTTTTGACGTTCGATCACCAGATGGGTTGTGTCGATTCAGAGCTATTTACACTACAGCAGCAATGATGAACCATAACTGCACACCAAATACAAGACATATCTTCCTAGGTGATGATTATACTTTGGCGCTCATAGCTACTGTACCGATAGCTAAAGGCGAAATGTTAACAGCTACCTACACCCAAGCACTTTGGGGAACGTTAGATAGACGAAAACATTTGAATAGTGTGAAATGCTTTTACTGCAATTGTGAGCGGTGCGCGGACGCAACGGAATTTGGTACTTATATTGGAAGTATTTACTGCTCAATTTGCGCTGAGACTAAAACAGAAGATAAGCCTATGATGCTCTCGACGGACCCTCTGAATGAAACTGCCCCATGGTCATGTGCTGCCTGTGGTCATAGTATAGAGAGTCGCCAAATGTTTTGGGGAAACAATGCTCTGAAGCAAGATCTAAGTAAGATGAATAAAAGTGGTCCTGAAGAGTTTGAAAAGTTTATTAAGACGTATAGTAACACGTTGCACCAAACAAATCATTTAGTGTTACAAGCAAAACTAGCCTTAATGCAGATATACGGAAATTATGAAGGCTACACCTTGGCAGGTAACAGACATACATCAAAGACCCTTATTAGAATAATATACATAATATTAGAGCCTATTTTATTAATATAGACATTTATGTGTATTGTCATAATTATGTTTTGTAAATATACATTATTTAGCGAGAATAGGAAGATTGAAAAGAAAAGCCTTCGCGACTATTGCGATCCGATACTAATCAGGATACCTTTAGAGATTAAATCTCCTTGTTGAAATGAAAGGCGTGTATAAATTTACCAAAAAAAAAAATGTCCCTTTATTATACATATGCATCCATAGTAATGAATATAAAACAATTGTAAACATAGGGTTTTATTACAGAACTCTCAGATGAGCTACTGAAACGAAAAGTTGATATTTGTCACGAGCTCTTGGAGGTGGCTGATAAACTAGAACCGGGCTGGTCAAAATTTAGAGGAACTATACTTCTTGAGCTCCAAGCAGCTATGGTTCTTCAGACTAAACGGGACTTCGACTGTGACAAAATAACTAAGGCTGGTGCTCAGGTACTAATTAAGCATACTTTGAAAAAATAATACTAAAAAAAAAAAGAAGGTTACTAATATTCTCAAAGTAAAAATTTTCAGTTTAATGATATTAGCGGGAAAACGCTCGATTGAACTAGCGCACGACCTGTCGCACTAGTCTTTTGGGCGAGGCCTATGTCCAGCAGTGGACACTGAACGGCTGCAAATAAACGCTTTTCCTTTTCAGGATCAACTGATGGAAAGCATGATCTTACTTCAAGAAGCGACAAATATATTAAAGGTGGAACCTCACATGAAAGAAACATTAGAGCAAAAAGTTCGAGAATTATCTTTATTCATAAATTCGACTTCCTGTGATGATGTGAAGTTCTAAGACCTAATACTTTAATACTAATTGTTAGAGATGAAATGATTTATAGGCAAGCATTACATGGGTTCTTACACATTTTTCCCCAACGACATTTTGGGAGTAATTGAAAAATTATTATTTCCCAAATAACCTATGTAGAGACCTAGTGTCATTATTTTGTTTCGATTACTTTATGAAAAACGATGCTCTAAAATTTTCAATTGATTGTTAGTCTAACTCTGATAAAGGTAGAAAGTCGAGATTTGGAATTATATGTTCACTTCTCTAGCCAAATGTTAAAAATAAATGAATATCTGTTGGTCCATCTCTAATAAATGTGTTTATTAAAAAGAGGGATTACAATAAATGACAATAAGCTATGCCTATAAATGCAAAGTATTAAAATGTGACTATGAAAAGTTGGCATGTTAGTAATGATATTTTTTATTAGAAAATTATACCAATTATTATTTGAAGTACTTCATTTAAGCGTTTAATATAAAACATCCATAATTTGGATATCACGGAGAGTTTTTGATTTGTTTTATTTTATTCTCAAGTTATATTATATCGTTACATTGCTCAATTTTAAGAGGCGTTATTTTAGTAGGCTTTGTCGTTAGTTCATCCATTTTTTGTACACTTAATTCCAATGTTTGTTTATGGATGTGAAGAAAGTTTTTGACAGCATTTGACAATTTCTTATTGGGTCTTGGCGTTGTTTCTATAATGTAAATATTGTTTACGTGCTTAATCTTGTCCAGATCTTCGGTTTTTCTTGCTACCTGGAAACAATGGTTTAAATATACATTCTGCTATAGGTGCAGCTAAAACCATAGTTATTTAAAAGTAGCATACTATATTTCGGGCATGTTGGTCTAATAGTAGCAATGTAAGGCTCACAAGCAACACAGTTTTAATCAATTTAAACTTTCTTTAAAATATGGTGGTCGGGATATATGGATGCTAGGATTTCCGAATATCCAAAGTCAAAATAGGTCGACAACACTTTTATAGATGTTATATGGCTAACGTATTTCACCTTCCATCAAATAAGCCCCATGCTAGTCTGTCCGCCTCTATCTTTAAAAAAAGTTGCGCCCCATATTGAAGGCTAAACTTACCAAGGTACAAATACAGCACCATGTACCAAACCTGAAGCACGACAGTCCAGGAGTCCTGTCCATCGCTCGTCGAAATCGGACATTTGTAAAACCATAGATCAAAGGATTAAGTGCGCAGTCCACATACATAAGGTAACTCGCTACAAACCATAAGATTTCATAAGCGCCTTCCACCTAGAAAGACAATTTTTACTACTAGAGGAAACACAAAGGGTAACAAAGTATTGTCTGTAGTCAAAGTAGTTCAAAAAGTCAACTTAGTATTTAAAAATGTTTTTTTGCAATGCAAGTACAATACTGTCTATAGTTTACACGAGTAGTACACATTTAAATAAAACATTTTAACGGTTTAAAACGCGATATATTATTTTATTATATTTATTTTTAACTTCGGCCCGACGAGTCTTCCGTGCCACGGCTGCTGCCAAGGCATCGGGGAGACTCGTCGGGCCGAAGTTAAAAATAATTTCCAAATAAGTTTAACTAATATATCGCGTTTTAAACCGTTAAAGTGTTTTATTTAAATGCAGGCACAATATTATATTTAATATTTCTTCTTATAGTGGCATCATAATTACGTATAATTTGTGAAAATGTAAACTATCGCTATCGCAGCTCTTCACAGCCTGTCGATGTACACATGGATAGACAGACAGCAAAGTCTTTTCAAGAGGATCCCAACTACAATATGGCTTTAGCACGAAAGTATAAACACTTATCGTGTATTCTTTGCAAACTTGATACTCGTATTAAATAATTTACCGCATTAATTTCTTTCGCCATATTATTCCTCCAATAAATGAGAACGGTGTACGGCAATCGACACAATGTAGAAGCCATAAGCACCATAGCTGTAACGCGCATAGCTTTCCCCCTTGCTTTCGTCACCACTTTCCCAGCACCACGAGAAGATAATTCACGCACACCACACTCCAAGCGCCAGATAATACCGCCATACTGGAATATGATATAACATTTTGTTATTACCTGATCAAGAAAAAATTAGACCTAATAAAATATTAAGAATACCAAAAAGATAAAGAACACATCTAAATACTTTTAAGTTTTAACGGTTTAAAAAACGTTATATATTAGTTAATTAGGCCCGACGTTTGCTTTGCAGCAGCCGTGGTTTAACCAGTAACCACGGCTGCTGCAAAGCAAACGTCGGGAATGAATTGGGAAAAAGTTAAGTCATCTCGCTTTTTAGACCGTAAATTAAACCGTGAAAATATACAGATTAGAATAAATGTTAAATAAGTTAACTAATACATTTCACGATTTTAGCCGTTAAAGAAACGAATAATTAAAATAAGGTAGCTGCACTTACACAAACTATCATTATACCCATCGGTAACCACACCAGGAGTATAAGTAAAAAATGCCAATAAATTCCCAAAAAGGTAATATCTTCAGCACAGTACATCTCCAAGAAATTTTGCCATTGACGTTCCTAGAAACATTGGAATTGTTATAGTGTTTAAGAATATTACTGTTAGTATCGATTAAAATCACTACTATTTTGCTAGTTTAGTGGTTAAAGCCACAGCTTATGAGGGGTTAGTAAGTGCAATGTATGGCTGATAATGAGAGTGTCCTGGGTTCGATCGCCATTGGGTCCAACGGTTTTCTAATCAATTTTTAATTTTTCTAAAACATGTTGAACTTCTGGTATACTGGATATTAAACGGGCGGATTGGAATACATAATTTTGTACCGGTCACAGGTGAAAGCCGGTAATTTTAATAGCGTTTCATTTTTTGTCTGTGGATGTCCGAATGTCTAAAGTTAAAATAGTCGACAGCGAATATATTGTAGATGTTATACGGCTGGGGAATTACAATGACCATCAAGTGGACCTCATGCTTAACGGTCCTGTACCATACAAATTCATTAATACACCAACAGCTGGGAACAGCGTGTGTCTATTTGCCATTTAATGCAATCGTGCAGTAATCCATTAACATAAATAAAGAAATAAAATATACTTTAAATACTGTCTATAGTTTACGCGAGTAGTACACATTTAAATAAAACACTTTAACGGTTTAAAACGCGATATATTAGTTAAACTTATTTGAAAATGATTTTTAACCTCGGCCCTACGTTTCGGACGCTTTGCAGCAGCCGTGGTGAAGGAGAGACACTCTCCCCGTTAAAGTGTTTTAATTTAAAAAAAAAAAATACTTTATTCTCTTAAAATTTTTGAAAATTATTTAGATTCCTTTTCAAAAAAAAATTGTTTGTCTATCTGTTCGTCGTGATTCTACAGAGTGTTCAAAAGAGCAACATAACTGAGAAGAACATCCAAGAAACTTAGTCCGGCTTTTTTTAACATGTCTTATAAACAAATACATTGTTGTGAATTTATTAACCTAAGGAGCAATTCATATTACTGTCAGGCGGCTTTGTCATTAAAGAAATCTTTCAGACAATAATACGCCTTTTGAGACAATCTTAATTTTATAACTTTCTTAAATTTATTTATCGATAAATTTGAAACTGCAATGTATACATACGAATACAATTCCCCACAATATAACTGCCATGTAGCATCAGAACTCAACTTTACACCTACCTTATATTCTCTTTTGATTATCCAAGGTAAGGAAAGCGCCATTGAGAAGAACCATGTGATGACAATAAGTTTAGGCGCACTTGCTTTTGTGATCCTTGCTTCTGAAGTCAGACAAGCAGCTGCAAGTCTGTCATAGGAGACCAACATAATGGAACCGACACTGGCTAGGAGAAGACTTGCTACAATCAAATGTTTATCATTTATATTATTAGACTAGTTGACCTGGCTAACATTATTTTGCCATATAAATGTACTCGCTGTATTATCAATTTTTAACGCCAAAATTTGTTTATGCAAACCCTTCTCTTCATCTTTATAAGTTTTAGCTGCTACCCACGACGTCGTTCGCGTTCTGCCATTGAAGAATGTCTATCATTTAAGATAAAAATATAGTATCGCAGACATTTTAAGCCATTTAAAGAGTTATGCTTCTTCTGTCTTCTTATTTTTGGGTATCTGGAACCATTTTCGCTGCGCACGCGACCGGTACCCACAAATAAGAATCATTTTTCCCGTTTTTGTTTCACATTTCCCGCTGTCTCTTTGTTGTCGCATTGCCATCTTTTATAGCCTATAGCCAGTTCTAATTGACACGAAAATTATTTTTGAATTCGAACCTGTAGTTCTTGAGAAAAGCGCAGTCAAACAAATAAACTCTTCAGCTTTTCTCTATACCAACACCGCCTCTATGCCACATGATTTTTGAGATACATATATTTCGTCGTGCATAGCAGTTAGTCAAGAAAAATAGTTCACGACTTTAAGAATTCCTTGTTTACCAAACTAAGTGGTTGTTAGGTAGGCAGTTTTTGATGGTTTGAATATACATACATACCCTGTAAGAACCCTTCAAACCGACACCCGAAGTTCCTCAACACGTAATTCTGATAAAAGTCTCTGACGAGCATGAACCAAGGACAAAATAGTAACGTCAGCATATCCACAGCTGCCATGTTACCAATCAGAAAGTTGCTTGCTGACCATAGCCACCTGTTCTTCACGAGGATGATGAGAATTATGGAGTTCAGTATAATCCCAATCACTCCAACGATGACCATAGCTAAACTTTTGATGAGGATCTCTCTTGGTGGTTTTATTATCCATAGTGTATTTGGAAACGGGTATTGTGAGGTGTCCAACTATAAACAAATAGATCATTTTATAAATATTTCTGTCAAGGGACAATATTTATTTAGCGCATGAGTATACATATACATAATACCAAAAAAAAAAAACTAAATAAACTTGTCACAAGCACTTATATTAGTTTAATTTAGTACACTAAATGAAAAAATATTTAAAAAGTTCTACATAGCACTGTAATAATATTTTTTCATATGAATTATCAATTAAAAATTATATCTCACATCAAAACATTCCTCCGTCCAATTAGACAAATATCTCGGGATCTGATTCGATTCCAGACCAAACATTTCTACTCTGACACAACATCGAGTTGAATAAACACGCGTAAGTGAAAATCACACTTGAGATTGTACAGTAGTCCATTAGCATAAAAGGTTTTTATCGCTGGATTAAACGATGGCATTGTCATTGCTGCCACCTAATATTGATTACTGTCTGGTTACACCCAAATACACTTGAAAATGAACAATTTTGACTATACTACTTTTACTTTTAAGTTAAACAGTTTTATTTTTTGTGCACTGAAAACTACAAAAAAAATAAATTTTCATAATCTTTGTGTTTTACTAGTGTAGCCCTTTATGTAATCCGCCATTTTGTATCGGCGGCCATCTAAGATTTATAATGTTTTTGTTTTTATTATATTCTATTGTCTAAATTAAATAGTAAAATAAGTATCAAATTTTAGATCAATCTGACAACGGGAAGGTGCTCAAATTTCAATTTTTAATTTTGACCCAAATAAATAAATTCCGTGCGGGTCGAGCTAAATATACTGTTTATATACGAATGGCATGACAGCTTAAATAAACTCAAAATCATTTTAGATTAAAAAATATATAATCGGAACTCGAACTCGTTGTGTAAGTACATGGAAACGTCTTTACGCTTACTTAATAATGTAACATGGATTTCAAACAAAACTAAAAATGATTCCTGTTTATGTTCTCATCGATTTTATATCTAAGAATGGCGTAGCATTCTATATGTACATTATTTTAAAAGTTAAATAACAAGTGCATAATATATGACTGAACGCTGAAACGCACTTAGAGCGTGGAGAAAGGAAATTTTGCTACATATTATTTATAGCGCCATCTTTAACTTTTTTTAACTTATTGTCTGTTCGAGATTTTAAAAACTTCTTTTCACCATTTGTTGCCAACATAAACAAGTTTTAGTTTCAGAGTTTTATGTCTAGATGTCACTTTTTTCATTTCATGTCACAAAAAGTAAATAATTCTGATTGCATTGATCAATAGAGAAAACTAATAGTAGATTTGAGAAGAAAACTATCAAGAATATAAAAAATATATATTTCATACTCAATGTTTGCTTCGAAAGCAGTCAAACCACAATTTTATGGCTGTCCATTTCACTAACTTCAGTAACCCATCGTGACTGTTTTGCCTGAAATTTGAATCTTGGACCTCTTTCTGAGAGGGGAGATACGGTACAATATTAGAGAAGATCTTAAACTTGAAAAACAATAAGAATATTTCAATTATAAGTAATTTAAAAAATGTCAATTTAGAATTTTCATACTCGACTCCTAACGCATAAAGCTTCCACAGCGCGATGGTTAACCGAGTTGTCAAGGATAGCGTTAAGTAGAAGAGGTCTTGGGTTCGAATCCGGGGGAAAAAAGAAATTGTTTCCGTCGAGGGCACAACATCAATTAGGTACTTAGTTGTTAATAAAACCTATTAGTAAAACGGCCAACGACATTTCGCATATCGTTTTACTGCAAACTTAAAGCATACTTTATTTCAATATTTAAGCGACTCAGTAATGAAAAGTTGAACATAAAAAGCCAAATAACATATCATTACCAACAAACAAACAGCGAAATAATGAAAATTATCATAGATAAAGATCGAAATGGGTACGTCCGGCCTAAATTGTACTAACGTTCATTTAATTTCATACATATCGTACCTCTAATCACGGCATAAATGTATGAGAAGTCATTGTTTTGAATATAAGTAATTTTCTTAAGTCGTTTTTTATCCATTGTTCGCATGTGTTCTAGGCAGCTGTTGAAATGAAATTTCCCTTTAGTTACGGGATAATGAACGGTCACATTTTTGTGTCCGTTTTTATTAATCGATATTATCGCAAAGCCATAGAATCGTGTCTAAAGAATATAATAATCAATTCAAAATGTAGTCTATGTCTACATCTTTATTACTTAATAGCTAAAAATGATATAGAGTTTAGCACGAGGGGTCTGGGTTCGTAACCTGTTAAAAAAAAATAGCTCCAGTCAGTGTCAGTAGTCTGATTGCGTTTAAATAGTAAAATGAAACAGTGAATACTCAGAAATGTGTCTATAACAGGCCAACACATAGTGGAGATTTCATGGAAAGTAGGACGTTTTTATTACGCCGAAGGATAGGTTGGTTGTAACCTTTAAATAATAAAACAGACTTACAAATATGTCTGCATGATGAACCAATAAGTAAGCGGTGTCTGTTATATTGTAATACATAGCTAATTTCCTTCAGACAGACACCAGAGATATAATTTAGCGACGCGCCAGCTCATTTGGCTAACACTGTGAACATTATGTTGCTATATTAATTTTTCTACCTTGTAATTTATTAAAACACACGCTACATCTAATTTAATAGATGGTATTATTCTGTGAATTTGATTAATTTATTATAAAATAGTTTGCTCAAACGAAACTGAGAATTTGAGTCCATTGCATTGAACAATATTAAGAAAATATATATTTAGATATTCTGATATTTTGATTGACATTATATATCAAATATTTGAAACAATAACAAAGCAATAAACTATTTAATATAAAGAAAAAGAAGAAGAAAGAAACGCAATCATCTCATCACCCAATCATTTAATTACGATTTCAAATCACGTGATTAGTACCTATAGATACATTACATTTTAAAACGTGATGTCACTTCCCCCCCCCCTCTTAAGGATGACCTCTTAATATGGGAATCGACGAAGGTAGATTTTTGTTTAGACCACTTGAATTATATTGCAACTAGATCTGTTTGTAGGTAATTAAAGATTTACTTTTTTATGATAGAGGTGCACAGACAAGCTTGTGGTTCACTTTCTGGTAGGAGAAATACCCGAGCCATCTACAGTAGATGCGCTGTCAAAGATTAGATATAGACATAACGTCACGGCTTTAACATCTGCGAACGGTGGTTCGTGTCCCGTCCGTTAAAAATTAACAAAACAGCAATGAAACTTAGACCCAATTTAATGTCAGATTAAACTATATAAAATAAAATACTCTATCTAGTAGTCGATTTGATTTGAAGCAGTTTATCGTCGCCAGACTAAGAATACGCCCGCCGAAACCGCAGCTGTCTGCAATTTACACGAGTCTATACATTATAATCGTTAAATGTATTCGGAATGTCGTGATTTCTATTTCTTTGTGAGCAAAGTGGTTAAGCTTCTACATCTACATATTGTGACGACCGTACATAATGGGATGGAGATATTTAACCGACGACAAAAGTGAGGTAGTACGTTACGCTACTATTTGTTTTTTGATATCCCTTTCAATATTGCTTTAAGACAATCTTTAGGAACATAAAAGAAACGTCAAGACAACTAAGAATAATAAACCGAAACTAATGTTACAAAGCTGAAGAGTTTTTAAGAAGAATTACTGCTAGAATAATGTTGTGTTGAGTAGCCATTTATTGAGGATGGTTTTAGACTGTATAACATCACACTGCGACCAATGCTAGCGAGGAAAAGGTGGGATATGTAGAAAATTAATCAGCTTTGTGTGCATGTTTTTACATAGCGAATATACTATGCATACATAACTATTCTTCTTTAAAAATAAAAAAAAATGTCCACAAGACATGTCTATCTTTTAAGATTTTTTGGGGATCAAATTGAGACGAATTAGATCAAATGGCAAAAGACAAGAAAGTTATCTTAAAATTTATGTACTAAACATAATATTAAATATATATTTAAGCAAAGTACCGGCTTGAGTCTTCGTCTAACTACATTATATAGAAATACGTTCCGTTCCTCTAAACGCAGTCACAAGAAACTGAAACAAATGAACCAAGACAATAAAATATGAATCTTAGCGTAATATTTATGCACATACATTTGTGAACCGCTGCGAGCCACAGACTGAATGAAATCTAATAATGGAGAAAAATCTTGAGACACACGGAACGAGGTATTAGAGCTAATTGAATGAAATGATGTAGACTGAACGAAGAATGAGATTGGAGCAAGGAATGAACTGAACTAATTCAATCGCTTTTAACACTAGCAGATGTTGTATTTGTATTAGTGAATTATTTACAACACTAATCTTTTATCGTAGATCACGTCATTATTAATAACAATTATCTGTAATTTACGCTAGTAGGTAGGACACATTTAAATAAAACACCTTTAACAGTTTAAAACGCGAATTATATTAGTTAACTTATTTCCCTAGCTTTGCAGTAGTCACGATGATGTAAAAATATTGTGTTACGTGAAAACTCCGGGTCATACTTAAAATAAATTGTACTTAAATAATTAATATAGCAGGCGTTTTAAACCGTTAAAAGTGTTTTATTCAAACACTTTGTTATTTATTTCGCTATTTGTGGGAATTGATTTTCTTTTCAAAAACAATATAAGTCGGTGTTACTGTTCATCAGAACGAATATTCAAAGCCAAAATAGGTCGATAACACATCTTGTTTATATGTTATCTGGCTGGGGTAGTCCACATAACAAAATTCATTTAACTAACTACGAAATAAGCTACTTATAATTAAAGAAGCAAAATATTTAAATTTGTTTAATAATTATTATACATACTTTAAAAATATAATCTTTGTGAGTGAGTCTTTAGTAAAATGTATAGAAAATGTGGTTCACTATGTAATACTTTAACTAAACATTCTAAAGCTTAGTGTGTGCATTTCTTATCGACAGACGTGCAGTCTGCGCTAGGTATAGACAGCAAATAATGATACAAAATTATTTAATTGAAAATAAATCTTCAAATAATTATCTTGTAATATAACCGGGTTTGGTAAACACGTTTAGAAGTATAAATATAGCTCCATTTTTACAAAATACTTATGTATTAAAATTTATGGTATTGCTCGTATCTGTATAGGCAATGTACATATACTCGACCTAAATCCGGCACAAAAGTATGGCAAAGCATTTTTAATATACTCGATTCGTCGCTTCCTATTCTAATTTTCAACTTATTTGCTGACGGTATGCAGACTTCATATTATCGGCACATCAGGTTCATTTGAAATATT